ATAAAAAAAAAACTTTTAAATAATTAATTTAATACTAATATCACTTATTTTTTTTAAAAATTTTATGATATATTTAAATTTATATTTCATTAATTTTTTTTTTCCAGAAGCACATAACATCATAATATTTATAGATCCAAAAATATAAAACAAAACATTAAAATCAAGATATATCTCGTTGCATTATAAAAGGTACTTTCTAGTAATAATAATAATAATAATAATGGAAAAGTAACTTGTTGTAAAATGATCCATTGCTCTCATATACATGGATGGCAAGGTACCGTTAGACGCCGGCCCAACACACAACACAAACCCTTTATAAAACCCTAGAGCATACATTATTTTCAAATCTTTTGATTCCTTCCTTATCAAAACCCTAACATAGATCCTTCACTTCACAAATATGGCTTCCAGCTTCCCCAATCTTGAATGTCGTATGTACGAAGCCAGGTTTCCCGACGTCGATATGGCCGTCATGATTCAAGTCAAAAGCATCGGTGAGATGTGTGCCTACGTTTCACTCCTCGAGTACAACAACATCGAGGGTATGATTCTTTTGTCCGAGCTCTCACGCCGCCGTATTCGTAGTATCAACAGTTTGATTAAGGTCGGCCGTATTGAGCCCGTTATGGTTCTTCACGTAGACGCAGAGAAAGGCTATGTTAATCTTAGCAAGAGGAGGGTTTCCGAAGAGGATATTCAGATTTGTGAAGATAGGTATAATAAGAGTAAGCTTGTTCACTCCATTATGCGCCATGTCGCCGAAACTATGCAGCTTGATCTTGAGGTAACTACAAATTTCTTAAACTCAACCCAACTGTCGACCGCATCGGACTACATCTTATCAACTAAATTTCTTCCATCCATTTAGGGCAATTAGAGATAGTATAGAAAAGAAAATGGTACAAAAGCCTATACATTAGCGCCTCGATAAATTCTGTCAACCAAGTTTATTCAGTGGTCGTAACATAATTAGTGTGGGAACATAGTCGGCCTTTTCCTCCCAAGTCTCGCTGCTTCAATGGCTGTTCTTTACAGGATTATGATCAGAACAACAACTAGAGAAAGTAGGGTATTACTGCCACTCAATCAAATCTCAAATGTTGAACGTGAAAGAGCAATAGCGGAAGGATTCTTTTCCTGAGTGACATCAAAATCCTGCTTGTATATGTCTTACCTACACCATCTGACCACCAACGAGGTGCTCTGTTGGTTCCCTATGCCATTTTCCTTATTGTTTAGAAGACAATGAAGTCAGAAACTTTTAGTTTATATAGAAGCAGGGTTTCTTATCCATTTTGGCCTCAAGTCCTCAATACACAATTCTTGTTTATACCTTAAGCTTCCCCCAAAAGAAAAGGGAGTGTATCAATTAGAGTTGTACTTCACATGCTTAACTATCAGAAGATACAAGTTTCTATCACCCTCTTTAATGGATGAAAAATCTAATTGATTGAACGAAGGATTTGGTTGTAGAGGGGGTGAACTATTGCAATTATTAGGCGTATGATTGAGTGTCTCTGAAAGTTTTTTATTATTTGAAATAACAAATGTTTGGTGATTCTACACAATGATAAAACCATAAATCAGATCGCAGGTAGAATTTGCTGCAAGTATCTCTATTGGATGCTGTCAGAAGAGTATTAATTTCTAGTTGGGTTATGGAGATCAGGTGTTTAGCTCATATCTACTCTTGTTGTAGATATGTAAATATATGATACTTGTATGTAGTAGGTAGAATTTTTCAATGCAGAAAGAAGAGTTTAAAGTGTGAGGAGAAGAAATCGAGAGGTTTTAAAGAGAAGTCGCTTGTTATGTATTATAACATTAGTGTTTGACATATTCTTTTATTTATATAATAAAACAAACGAGCATTTAATTGTTTTTATTTGGTGATTCTAATGGGGTGACTTTAAAGGGAAAAATCCATCTTCTTAATTGTATGTAGTCATGTGGGGCTAATAGTTTTCTTTCCATAATGGGTCCCGTTTTTCTAGCCTTTCCCCGAAGTCATTGGCTCACAAACTAACCGACTTGAAATCACACCCACATGCACATAAAGAGAGGTGTATGCCTCTGCCTCGCCTCACCGATGCAAGGCACACGCTCTATCCAAGCACCGAGACGCTACACCTAAGGTTCGTTCTTTTGTTTCTTTGACCGCCTCGCCTTTTCAAGTCCTTAGAATTTGCGTTTTCTAGCTAAGGTCTAAACTCAGAAAGGTGAACCTGGTGTAGTATCTCGAACTTTCTAAGGGTTGGGTAGGGAAGTCTTTTAGCACAACCTTTTTCTTCTCCGTGATCTTCATTTCAAATTGGAGTAACCATACCGGTTGCTATAGGGCTCAACCCCGACTTGCAAGATAAGGATGATAAGTGAGATTCTATCAATGTCTAATCGTGTATGTTACTTTAGCTTATGCATGAGCATTGTAGTCAATACTTCATAGTTTCTCATTATGTCCTTAAGAGTGTTTTGTTATGCACCAAATGCAAGACAACTATCAAATATCACTTGGAAGCTAGTCACTGGCCAGATTATATTAATTGGACAATCGTAAAAGAATGCTAGCAATTCGAGGGGCTAGTCCCTCCAAAACGAGGCTACAATTATTTGCGTACCTTCTGCTTATAACAATTACGGAACAGATTTATTGGTGAAATTCCCCCCACTACCCATACCCACAGATTGTCTAACCAAAACAATCATGCCTTTCCCTCGTAGTCTCCTTCCCTGATCTGCCCATGTGGAGTCTTTCTTCGACTATAGGGGTGGAAGTATAACATGTTCGTAGATGGTTCATGCAAAAATAGACGTGTTATCTGCATATGTTTGTTTCTGAACTGCTTTTATATGTGAGCTACAACTGTTAATGATTGTACTCGAATTTGGTATATATTTTTTTGTGGAAACTGATTTATCTTGTAATCTCTGCAATGCTAGGATCTGTATATTCATGTTGGTTGGCCTTTGTACCGGAAGTATGGCCATGCGTTTGAGGTGGGTGTGAAGAATGCTGCTGAAGGAATTTTTTGTACTCTGTCAGACATTGTAGATATACATCTCATACTTGTGCTAATTGGTTGCAGGCATTTAAGTTAGTTGTGAGCGATCCTGATTCAATTCTTAATTCACTTACCCGTGAAGTTAAAGAAACTGGTCCTGATGGAGAGGAGGTAGCTTTTTATGTCTTTTTAGATATTTGAGTCTTCTTTATGCCTGCTCATACACGTCAATGATCACCACATTAAACGTACTTATCGTCAGGTGACGAAAGTGGTTCCTGCTTTGACGGATGAAGTCAAAGATGCATTGGTAAAGAACATTAGAAGAAGAATGACTCCACAACCTTTGAAGATCCGGGCAGATATTGAAATGAAATGCTTTCAGTTTGATGGAGTTCTTCACATTAAGGTGTCTCATTTGAGTATTTTTTTCAGAAAGTTATGATTGTGAAAGCAGATTAAGGTGTCTCGTTTAAGTATTTATCTAGTTGCAAGTGATTCCATTTGTTAACTTCTTGTCATGTCCTACTCTATAGGATGCTATGCGGAAGGCTGAAGCTGCTGGGAATCAGGACTGCCCTGTTAAGATTAAGTTGGTTGCTCCTCCATCTTATGTTCTTATCACTCAAACTCTTGACAAGGTAACCAAAATGCTCTCAGACTGACCGTGATGTTTAATTCAATTATTTTGCTTCCTCATCCCTGTCCCTGGGGGTTAGGGTTGGTGGAGCTGATGTTTCACAAAATTAATTTGCATGTCCATTACTACTGCAATTGTTAGAACGCAATGATGAAGTCGATGTTCATTCAACTATTACTGCATATTCTTAACTTGAAGAGGCTAATTGTTTTTACATGGATTATCGTGTTAGTTGTTTATTTATTATTTCATTTTCTTGTTTTATGTTAAACTCAGTTATAGTGTTTTTTGTGCTATATTAACATTCTAATATGTGTGTTGGTCCAATAAATTAAGTATCTGGTGATGGAGTGGCATAATCGACCACTGAGGTCTCATTATATAAATAAGATGCCTTGTTTATTGGATTAGGGGGTGGTTGTAGTCTGCAAGCACACATAAGGAAAGTAGAATGATGCAGCAGACCGCTTCAATATTTGTTGATTCTTTTGTCTATGCTTCATTTTTATTTCGTATACCTTCCCCATTTTTGATGGCTTCTACTTCCTGCAATTTATACTTTGTACTTGCTTTTTTCAAGCAATTTTATTCTTTATCATACTCTACTTTCATGTACCCAGTTTCAGTTCATGCAAGTTTTCCTCTCACAACTCTATATGTTCACAAGTCTTGCATTTTCAGTTCCACAAAGCCCACACTTTCTCAGGGATGCTAATGCGGCACAGTTTATCACTTACTCTTCATCTCTTTCTTTCACATCATAGGATTCATAGAGAAAGTGGTTCCTTTACCCAACATGAGTTCCTAATTGAGATTGTTGGTCATTTAATGAATTTCTGGGAAATCTTAAGAGCATTATAATCGTTCCTTCATACGCTTCATTCTGGAAGTCTCTATCAATCTACTCTTTTTATGCTGGAATTGAAGATTATTTATATTCATGGGTTGGAGGTTATCTATGTTACTTTGGCCCTGGTTACCGAAAACCTGGACCTTATTTAATCAATCGCCACTTCCACCAGTGTTTTGTCTCTGCTGTAAATCACCGACATTGTTGTTATTTAGTTCACCATTGCATCATTATGATCGTCCATGATTATTCTTTAGAGTCGGTCTATTTCTTTGTCTGTTTGCAAACTCTGGCATCAACAACGGGGTTTTGTTTTGATCAGGTGATTGCCATGGTTACTGACAGCTGCATATGACCTTGACTTGTGTTCTTTTTTGTCATTGATCATACCCAACAGCAAGATGGGGATTCTACTTGAGTTAATTTGACAATTGCTGTGGTTGGTTCTTGCCATGAAATAACTGACCTTGACTTGTTCTTTTTCTTGTTTTATGTTAAACTCAGTTATGGTGTTAGATTTAAATCTCTTAACATTGGCCAGAACTTTTATAGGACACATGGGTTTCTTCACATTTGTTAATGGAAATTGCCTGTTAAGATGTAATGCCACTTGTTTTTCTTGGGGGTAAAGTGAATAAGGCAAACGGGGGGTAATCTTTTAATTAATAATTTTTAAAAAACGAAAATCAGTAATGGCTTTATTTGTTACAGGATCCTGATTATAGATTTGTGTTGCTAGTATTCTGTATAATACATGTCGTGTCTTTGCTTATTTAGACATCTTTCTATTATGCCCCAATTAACATTATATGGTGCGATAGGAGCAAGGGATTTCAGTTCTTACTAAAGCAATTGCTGCTTGTACGGAAGAAATAGAGCTCCACAAGGGAAAACTGACAGTAAAGGAGGCACCTAGAGCGGTTAGTGTGATTTGTGACGCATATAACTTGATTTGAATTTATCTTGCATTCATGTTAAGAATGTGATGTAAATTATATGGTTGGTTCAGGTGAGTGAACGTGAAGACATATTGTTGGCTGAACGTATGGCTAAGCTAAGTCAAGCCAACGAAGAAGTGGAAGGAGACGATGACAGTGAAGAGGAAGAAGACACAGGAATGGGAGATATTGATTTGGAGAAACAGCAGCAGGAAATTTAGAGAGAAAAGTTGTTTAGTAGTAATATTAAATTTTGGTGTCAATGGAAATCCAATGAATAGAAAGTTGTTAAGAGAGCATGCATACTATTGATATTTGCATTTGATGATTGTAGCAACGTATGATATGCAGGCAGCTTCAACTTGTATGTAAACCTAAAACCAAATAGTAACAATGATTGATTGATTGATTGATATAGGCTTTATGGGTAGAGTGTGTGTGTGTGTGTGTTTAAGAATAAAATGATAAGCAGATGCACATGGGTTAATATGGATGTATGCGTTTTGAGCCTCCCGTGAAAGACAACGACCTTTCAAGGGCTCCACCTCCCTAATTATATTCATTTACAAAAACTGTTTTTTTTTAATTTTTTTTATTTACTAGTAATAATAATAATAATAATAATAATAATAATAATAATAATAATAATAATAATAATAATAATAATAATAATATGATTATGAGAAAAGTAATCGATAATACAATTTGATTTGTGTTAGTCATGTAGTTTTCAACGTCATTTCATTATCACCCACTCAAATCCTCTAAAAGATGAATGTTTTGGAGTTATTAGAATTTGAAAGTAATAAGTCTCGTTTTCAGATGAGACGTGACCCACCTAATAATAAGTTTTCTATTTATTTTTACATATCTCTTTCTCTATTCAAATCCGTGACTCTTCCCTTCCCTTCCTCCTTGGATGATTGTATATGAAAACGCCAACTCATTAAACTCAAATGCTTATTCTTTGTCCAGAAAAATAAAAAATCAAAAGTTAAAATCTTCAATATCTATATATTTATCTTCTATTTTAAAGATTATAATATGGTTACGTTATTAAAATATTCAATACATTTTATAAAAATTATTTCTTAATTTCAAGGACTTCTATTAGTAGGAAGATTAACAAATAATTTCTTTTTCATGGGTAATCATTTTTATAGAGTTCTTCAAATTTAGAGAATTTCATCATCTCTCTTACTTTTCCTATTTTGAAGAACGTTTTAAAGAATCAATTTGAATAAAAATACCAAAAATCACAATTTTAAAGATTTCTATCAACCTTGTACTCAAATGCTAGTATACACATGCACCAAAAATGGTCTGACAAGTCAAAAATTCCCATACATTGGGTTGGGAGAATATAATTTACTATGTCCTGCTCCCAAATCTATCACTTCAATTCTATATATTTTTCTTTCTTTAAATTTCATATTATATATTTATTTCATTAGTTGTTGGTATATGATACAGTAGAATAATCGTCCAACACCTAATAATGCAACATTAATCATTTTTTATTAACTTAAACAAAGTTGTGTGCAAATCCAGTGTGGATCTTCCCATAATGAAATGCAGCAGCATGTGTTTCAACATGAACACCACTCCAAAACTAAAATAAATTAAAATAAAAAGCAATAACTTCCACCAACCAATGATCGTGGTGTTATATATATATATATATATATACATATATATATGATGAATCAAACATGATATATTTGTTTGTTGTTAGATTAAAAAGAGCTACTGGTACCAAGTGAATGAGTCTGAATTTGTCTCTATTATATATACATATATGTATATATCATCTGTGAAATTAATTAAGAAACCAGATAAGTCTTCTTTTTTCTCTTGTTCCAAATTAAATGGCTTCTTCTTCTTCTTCTTCATCTTCGTCTTCATCTTCATCTTCTTCAGTCCACCACCAGCCTCCTAAACAGCATCATGAATCCATACAACCTCATCTCTTAAGACTACTTGTGACTTTGATTAATCACCACTTCAACTGTTTGTTATCCAATCCCAAAACCAGAAAAATCCTACAAGCAAAATGCTCTCGGAAACTTGGCCTCAAAAACCACCACTTTGAATCCTCCTCCTCAGTCGTCTCAAATCTCTACTGGGGAATTCACACTGTAGAGGCTGCAATCCAATGCCCTCAAGGCATGAACAAAGCCAACCTCCAAACCTTCGAAAACATGTTTCAAGCACCAGCTTTATTGAATGAAAATGGGATGACAGCCGGAATATCGAATGCTTACTTGGTTTGTTGCTCCTATTTTTATCTGGCTCTGGTTAGAAAACTGTTGCTGCAACGGGATGAGCTTCAAGTTGCTCTTCATTTTCTTCAAGCCTTAGTGGTCTCACCAGTGCTGGTCAGGACTGAGCTTGCACCAGACCTCTATCGAACCATGCTTCATTCCTGCATTCTGCCATTAAAACCTGCTCACTACTTTAAACAGAATCATTATGAAGAAGCTGCTAATGTGAAATGGGGTGCAGCAAGTTACAAGGCATGGTTAATGTATCATCAGGTTATTTCTTATGGACACTCTCCTCTGTTGATGAGAGACAAATCACAACAAATTAGGTAACTGAACTCTAATTTCTTTTTTCTATTTTTCATTTTAATTACTTAACTTGTACTGCTAAATTAATCTCATACTTGACACTTTCATGAATTTTAAGGTCAGACATACCAGTTTAGACTTCAAAAACAGTATGAAATTCCAGAAATTTTCACATATAACTTCAATTTACTACAACTGACTGAAATATTGGTCCTAAAAACTTGAGACAAAAGTAGTACTTTTGTATGGTTGAGCCACAGACAGACGCATGTTTAGAAGAAATGATGAAGATATCTGAATCATGATGGTTAATTTTGGTGCAGAAACAGCAAGGCCTGCAGCACATCATCTTCAAATTCATATGAACATCTTCATCAGTTGGGGACTCATCAGAATGTGAGTGAGAATAATCAACTACTAGTTCTACTACAAGTAACAAACGAATGCAAATGATATTAAAATCAATCGTTATTTGAATGTAGTTTAAAAAAGTCCATCCTATTGATCCTCAACAAGGAATCAAGCGTCTCCAAGATCTTCTCTTGGAAGATCAGTCAGATTCACCAACTTCCTTGTATTCAGGCACTACTCATTTTGAAGATCAAGATTCAGAGGTATATATTATATTACAACCCAAAAAAGGTTCTTAATTTGTTTCGAAAGCAGTTACAAAATGAAATAAATTCTTGATTTTTTCTCTCACTGCTGTGCCGTTAATTAAAATCAGGAAAATGCAGACAAATTCGATACATCATTGAGAAGCTTGCTTGGAGTTGCAGACACAGAAACAGAAACACCAATCACAATGTCAAAAGCACCAAACATCACTAGTTTTTCGCGACACCACTCAGCAGCAAGTTCCCACTTAAGCGACTTAGAATTTTGGAACTGCATTGACGATGAGAAAGACGAAAGCACCTTTCAGAATCAGAGGGAATATTTCCAAGGAACTTGTGCTGAAAATAGTTACAGGGTCGAACAAGCTGAGATTGTAGAGAAAGTAATTTCAAAGTTATGTTTCTCAGAAGGACTTGGAAAATCTCAAGACCATGATGACGATTCATCAACTGTTGAAATTACAGCTGTGTATGAGATGTTGGCAAGCAAACCAGGACTGAAATACTCTTTGTTAAAAGATGTTATTTTAGATCAGTTACTAATGGCTCTTTCAACTTCAAAGGAACAAGGGGTAACAAGAGCATCAGTTTCTATACTGTCAAGTATTATTTCAGGGAATCCATCGGTTATACAAGAGTTAAAGAAGAAAGGGTTGAAGCTTGATGACCTTGCAAATGCTCTGAAAAGAGATGTTTATGAAGCAGCTGTTTTGATTTATTTAATAAACCCATCTCCAAATGAGATTAAGACTCTTCAACTTATGCCAACACTAGTTAAGATCATTTGCACTTCATCAAGCTCATGTTACCAGAGTGGCTCAAAATCACTTCTTCTCACACCCCCTTCGGCTTCACTAATGATTATTCAAGTGTTGGTCACAGCCTTTGACTACTCCACAAACAACACTCATTTGGCTGCAATCACTTCACCAAAAGTCATTTCATCTCTACTTAATGTTCCAAGAGATGGTAATCTAGAACAACTTATCTCTTTGGCTGCTATTCTCGTCAAGTGCATGAGGTTCAATGGACAATGTAGATACCATATCTTGGAGTTCACTCACATCTCTCCATTCATCTCCCTCATCCTAAGTAACCACAAGCATGCCATACTTGCAGGACTTGAATTCTATCATGAGCTACTACGCATGCCAAGGTACGTTCTAACCTGATGGAGAAATCTTTAACGGGAGTCCTTTTTTTTTGGTATTAAAAAAGTTGTACCATTTTGACCCTAAACCAAAATGGTACAATTCTTCGGTTTCCCATCTGGGAAGTCCATGAAGATATGATTTCAGAAGTATGATAAGTTACAACTTATGAGGCTCTAAAGAGCAAATCTTTTATTACCCCAAATAAATTTAACTACAAAATTCTCAGATCATCGTCAGTAAGTCTGCTACAGCAGCTAAGGGAAGGAGGCGGCATCAACATTATGTGTGTTCTATTGCTTACCATCCAACAAACACAACAAGAATATAAGCTTTTAGCAGCAAGTTTATTGCTTCAATTAGATATCCTGGTAAGAGTTCTATGGTTCAAACTTACAAAGAGCCTTATTATTGACTAGTTCCCAAACTTAAAAGGTCATTTTGTTAGTGATGTTATTGTTTGATGTAGTTATGTGATAAACTTCAGGAAGACTCACTTGATAACATTTTGAACCGGGAAGTGGCAATTGAGGCCCTTCTTGGGTCACTGACATGTGAAGAAAACTCGGATGAACAACAATTAGCAGCATTCTTATTGTCGAATCTTGGTGGAACTTATGCATGGACAGGAGAACCATGCACAATAGCTTGGTTGGTAAAGAAGGCTGGTTTGAACTCAATGCTACACAAGAATATTGTCAAAAACATTGATTGGTCAGATGATACTCTGCAGGTAATATAAAAAAATCCTCTCCATTCCACTACTAAATGTAGAAATTTTACTTATGTGGTCAAATAACATCAATTTGATATCGGTCTTCTCTTGATAACAATGTTAAAGTTCAAAGTTTGTGGTGATATGTACATTAAATGAACAACATGTAGGAAAATGGGACTGAAACTTGGTGTGGAAAGGTTGCACGCCACATTACAAAGGGTGGGAGTCCTGTATTCTATGCTTTGGAGAAGGGATTAAAGAGCAAGAACAAGAGAGTCTCAAGAGACTGCCTCACTGTAATTGCGTGGATCGGGTGTGAAATTGTGAAAGGTCCTGATGATTTGAGATGCTTAGCTTGTGACATCTTGCTAAGTACAATTGAGCAATATGTGCATCCTGGAAAGGAACTTGAAGAAAGACTTTTAGCATGTTTGTGCATATATAACTACACTTTTGGTAGAGATAAATGCTCCTCTTTTAACCCTCTTCTCTTCTTCCATATATATATATATATATATATATATATATATATATATACACTAATGTATTCTGTATGCAGGCATGCAAAAAATAACTCAGTTTTCAGAGGGTGTTAGAGAATCACTCCGACGCCTTTCAAGTATATCGTGGATGGCAGAGGAATTGTTGAAGGTTGCAGATTATTACATGCCCAACAGATGGGTAAGTTTCTTTTCTGTTAATTTACTTTACTCGGTTTCTCTGGGTGTGGACAATTAGTTAACTCACCTGCTCCTTTCATTGATATGGCAAGAGCAGCGAATATCTTGTGTCCACACACAGGTTTTGGAGGCAAATTATAATGGCAGTGGAGCTGTAAATTCTCTCATCTACTATAGGGGACAGCTTTTCAGTGGATACTCAAATGGTTCTATCAAGGTGAGGATCTACAACAAGCATCATACATTATATATATATATATATATATATATATATATGATTGCATAATCTACAAAAGTCGACATGAAATACAAGCACAAGCATGAAAATGAAGAAAAGTGCATTATGTTATGGTAGGTTTGGGACATCAAGGGGCAAACAACCACTCTTGTATCAGATATAAAGGAGCACAAGAAGGCAGTAACATGTTTTGCACTTTTAGAACCAGGGAATTGCCTTTTGAGCGGGTCTGCAGACAAAACGATTAGGGTAATCAAGATTTTATGTCATTTTGATGTTATCTGAATCATGTATGGATACTGAATGGAATGTTTCTCCAATTGCAGATTTGGAAAATGTTTGAAAAGAAAATGAAATGCATTGAAGTAATAACAACAAAGGATTCTATTCAAAGTCTTGAAACTTGCGCTGAACTGATTTTTACTGTTACCCACAACCATAAAGTGAAGGTAACCAGCCAATACTAACAACAATAGCAAGAAACTTGCAAAAAGGTCAGTAAAACAGTTATAATAAAAAAGTATGATGTTATGTAGGTCTTTGATTCATCAAGAAAGGTGAAGGATGTTTTCAAGCACAAGCATGTGAAATGCATAAGGGCCAGCCAAGGGAAAGTTTACATAGGCTGCATGGACTCAAGCATACAGGTTGGTTATCATCATACCTAAAAATATAAATGAAAATAAAAACAAAAATAAAAAGAACGACAAGTCATTTATGTCATCATATTGATTGATATAGGAGTTAAGTACTGGAAACAACCGACAACAAGAAATCAAAGCTCCATCAAAGAGTTGGAGGATGCAAAACAAGCCTATCAATTCAATATCAGTGTACAAAGACTGGCTATATAGTGCAAGTAGCTGCGTTGATGGATCAAGGATTAAGGTTTGGACGATAATTAATAATAACAATAATTACTACTACAAAGACCACCAGTTACTAATTACACAACTAATAATGCAGGACTGGAGAAGACAGACTAAGGGTGGTCAAGTGTGTATAGTACCATCTGAGAAAAGATCAAATGTGGTAGCAATGAGCATAGTAGAGGACTTTATATACTTAAACAGCAGTTGTTCAGCAAGCAACCTAGAGGTATATTACTGTTCAATTCTAGGCATATCTTCAAATAGAGTAGGACAACCTTGTTTGAAAATTTATAACCTTTAACCCTTATATATATATTATCAATATTATTGTCAGAAAGTTATCTCTCTTCTGTTTTGGGGAACACAAACAGTCTCTCTCCTAAAGGTTTAATAATTTAAAGATACAGATTTGGCTGAGAGGGACAGAGCATAAGGTTGGAAGGTTATCAGCAGGCAGCAAGATCACAAGCATGCTCACAGCCAATGACATGATCTTATGTGGTACTGAATCAGGATTAATCAAGGTAATATTTATTAAGATTTTCATTTATTTTATTGTCTTTCTATTTAAATCCATTCTTTCTTTCTTTCTTACATTCCCTAATGATTGACAGGGCTGGATCCCCCTATAGTAAAGTAAAAGATTGAAGCCATTTTCTTTTATTCTTTGGTTAAGCTGCTGGATTGCTATGCTTGTGTATATATTATTATGGGGTAAATATAGAAGAGGAGATGGGCTGCACATAAACATGACCTGCATACAACAGTGGAATGAATATCCGGACACAATAAGAGACTTGGAGTTGTAATACATTTATTATATGTTCTTTTATCTATATTTAATTTAATATGTGATAGAGAGAATGGAATTGATGATGATGATTTTGTATTCACCTTAATTTAAGGATTGTGTAGATCAGCAAAGGAGCATTTATACATTTAACATAAGATAGATTAATTAATGAAACAAGTCCCTATATAAGGATGGAACAAATATAACTCAAAATAAACCAGATTGAGTTTTGAAACATCAATTTGCAGAAGGTTGACCATCTTGACAACCAATCACATGTTGAGGCACAAAGTGAAAATTGATGCATTCATACTGTGGTAAAACAAGGATGCTTTGATAACACTTGTTAAGGAAAATGCTAATGTTTAATCCAAGTCAAACGAGCATAAGTTGAACATGCAAAGATGTTCTCACAGCAAACAAAGATGGTGATACATCAAGATAAAAAACATCCAACACAAAGTAAAAAAAGATAAGAGTTAGAAAGACAACACCAAAATATAATTATATGAAAACCCAAATGACCTTAATTAGAGAAAAGAAAACTAAACAGCTTCTTTTATTTTTATTCTCATTGATTATTGCTTAATACCCGTACAAAACATCCTTAATTCTTCCTTTGGTTGAGAACTCAACTATAGTAATGTTGGGTTGATATTAATTAAATATCCAGTCGTTTTGGGTTAGACAGGGTCGAGTTATTTATGGTTGTGTTATTGTAAATAGTATAGAGGCCCAACCGATCAGGGCTTTTATTTGTTCCTAAAACCCTAACCCTGACTTCTCGTCTACCTTTCTCCGGTGACGATGGGTAAGGTGGTAAGCGGTGGTGTGGCCAAGGGGAAAAAGAAAGAAGCGACGTTCACGATTGATTGCGATGGAGGATAAAATCATGGAGATTGCCTCATTGGAGAAGTTCTTGCAGGACCGGATCAAAGTTGGCGGTAAAGCCGGAGCTCTGGGCGATGCCATTACCATTTCTCGAGATAAGAAGAAGATCACGGTAACCCCTGACTCAACATTCTCCAAGAGGTATTTTCATTGTTATTGTTAACTATACGTAAAACTCATCTTTAGATGATGAATGTGGTTTTTTTCTGATCAATTAGAATCTTGTGCCAAATTTCCCAACTTGCAACTTCTTTCTTCTAATGAAACAAAATATTTAGAGAGTGTAAATTATTGAAATATCTCAAATCCTTTCAACACGTTAAATCCTAAAATTGTCGCAAGTAAATTGAATATTCAACTTCGGAATTCAAAGTTTATCTTACAAATGTTGCTCATAGCCTAAGCCAACCTAAATTATAGGTAACACCAATGGGAAGTCTAATGGCATCCTAAAATTATTATAGATATAGGGTTAAATGCATGAAATAACAACCTACTTTCACAAAATTTCTTATTATAGCATTCTACTTTTGTTTTTCTTTATTACAGCAATGTACTTTCAAATTATTTTTTATTAAGGCATTGTACTTTAAAATTTTTACCCATAATAGCAATGGGTAACCTGTTACCTTTTAAACTGGTTAACCCTTTGACTTTTTTGCTTGTGTGACTTTAATGAGGTGATGTGGATGACACATCATTTTAATGACTTAACTAAAATTAAAATAAAAACATATTTCAAATTATTATTAGTGATTTTCATTTTTCATTGCTATTATCTAAAAAAACATTTAATTTTTTTTTTACTTTTTCTTATTAGGTTGCATTAAAATTAAATATTCTTAGAGTAAAATATTTATTAAATAAATATGCAACATTATTTTCGAGATATATTTTATTTGTAAAAAA